TATACGTGTTTGGGATATGACCAAGAGACAGTGTCTATACACTTTTAGACGTGATGGTGAACGCTTTTGGATATTAACTGCACATCCAACTTTGAATTTATTTGCTGCCGGACATGATGGCGGTAAGTTTCTCTGCTTACTCATATATTTAACTTTTTTAATATAAATTTTAATCCAATTCTATGCAGGCATGGTTGTTTTCAAATTGGAACGTGAAAGACCAGCTTATGCAGTTCATGGTAACATCCTTTATTATGTGAAAGATCGTATACTACGTAAATTAGATTTCACTACAACTAAGGATAGTGTGGTAATGCAACTACGAAGCGGTGCTAAATCTCCTGTATACAGCATGTCCTACAATCCAGCACTTAATGCGGTTTTAATTTGTACACGTACAAACAATTTGGAGAATAGCACTTATGATCTGTATCAAATACCTAAAGATAGTGAATCTCAAAATGACTCCGACAGTAAACGTTCATCAGGTATAACCGCAATTTGGGTTGCACGTAATCGTTTTGCAGTTTTGGATCGAAATCAGCAACTGGTCATAAAGAACTTTAAAAATGAAGTAACAAAGAAAATACCAACATTTTGCGAGGAGATATTTTATGCAGGAACAGGCATGCTGTTAATACGTGATCCGGAATATGTAACTTTGTACGAAGTGCAACGCTTGGTGTCAGTTGGTTGCATTAAATTAGCTAAATGTCGCTACGTTGTTTGGTCTGCTGATATGTCCTTAGTTGCGTTACTCTGCAAGCATTCTGTTACGATATGTGACCGCCGTTTACAATACTTATGCACTATCCAGGAAAATTGTCGCGTTAAATCTGGCGCCTGGGATGACTCTGGGGTATTTATTTACACCACCAGCAATCACATTAAATACGCAATAACCAATGGTGATCATGGCATTATAAGGACTTTAGACTTACCAATTTATCTGACGCGTGTAAAAGGAAATCAAGTATTTTGTTTGGATCGTGAATGTCGTGCGCTGGTCTTAAATATAGATTCCACTGAATATAAATTTAAACTAGCACTAATTAATCGCAAATATGACGAAGTACTTCACATGGTACGCAATGCACGCCTTGTAGGCCAAAGTATCATAGCATATCTGCAACAAAAAGGATATCCAGAAGTAGCTTTACATTTTGTGAAAGATGAAAAAACTCGTTTTGGTTTGGCTTTAGAATGTGGTAACATTGATATCGCACTTGAAGCAGCAAAGGCACTGGATGATAAAGACTGCTGGGATCGTTTGGGACAAGCTGCTCTAATGCAAGGTAATCATCAAGTAGTTGAAATGTGTTATCAGCGAAACAAGAATTTTGACAGTCTAAGTTTCCTCTATTTGATCACTGGCAATTTGGAGAAACTGAAGAAAATGATAAAGATTGCTGAAATACGAAAAGATTATTCAGCACAATACCAAGGTGCACTGCTATTGGGAGACATTAATGAACGTATAAATATACTTAAAAATTGTGGGCAATTATCACTGGCTTATTTGACAGCAGCAACCCACGGTTTCACCGACCAAGCTGATAGTTTAAAAGAAACACTCACGCAAGAGGGTAATCCACTGCCTGAGGTTAACCCTGATGCAGTTTTGCTTAATCCGCCTGTACCAATACAACAAGTCGAAACGAACTGGCCTCTTTTAACGGTATCTAAAGGATTCTTCGAGGGAGCTATGATAACACGTGCGGGCACAAGTGCAACTGCAAGACAAGCCCTAAATGTAAATGCTGATGCAGCAATTATGGACGCAGGTACATCTGGTGATGGTTGGGGCGCTGATGCTGATCTAGATTTAGGTGAAGATGGAGATGAAGAAATGCAGGATGCTTTAGATACAGAAGCTGGAGCAGAGGGAGGTGAAGACGGTGCAGGTTGGGATGTAGGAGACGATGATCTTGTCGTTCCCGAGGAACTTGCTTCTAAAATTAAAGCCAATGCATTAGATACAGGATTCTTTGCCAACAAAGGATTATCCGTTGCGCAGCACTGGGCTAACAACTCGTCACTTGTTGTAGATAATATAAAAGCTGGCGCTTTCAAGAATGCATTCCGCTTACTAAATGAACAGCTTGGCGTAGTTAATTTTTCACCTTTTAAAACACTATTCTTACACAATTATGCCTGCTCCAGAACAAGCTTCACTGCAATGCCAAACATCAAATCACTTTCAGCATACCCATTAAGAAATATTGGTGAAACCAATGTTAAAAACCAAAGGCCAGCGTTGGGTATTAAACTGAATGACCTGGTTTTACGTTTACAAGCTGGCTACCAACTGACAACTGCTGGCAAATTCACAGAAGCTGTGGAGAAATTTCATTCCATCCTAATAAGTATACCGCTGTTAGTTGTCGATACTAAACAGGATATTGCGGAGGCACAAGAACTGTTAAAAATTTGTGGAGAGTACATACTTGGTTTGAAAATGGAAACCGAACGAAAAGGTATGCCTAAATCAACACTGGAAGAGCAAAAACGACTTTGCGAATTAGCCGCTTATTTCACACACTGCAAGCTGCAACCTGTGCACCAAATTTTAACACTACGTACCGCGTTAAATATGTTCTTTAAGTTGAAAAATTATAAAACCGCAGCATCTTTCGCGAGACGTCTATTGGATTTGGGCCCGCGCCCAGAAGTGGCACAACAAGTACGTAAAGTACTGCAAGCATGCGAAGTTAATCCAGTCGACGAACATCAGTTGCAATATGAAGAATTCAATCCATTTAATATTTGCGGCATCAGTTACAAGCCTTTGTACCGTGGTAAACCAGAGGTGAAATGTCCGTTTTGCCAAGCATCCTACGATCCCCAATACAAGGATAGTTTATGTGCGGTGTGTGATGTGAGTCAAATCGGCAAAGATGCCATAGGTTTGCGCATTTCCAACTTACAATTTCGTTAAACTTGTAAAAAACTTTCATTTTATTTAAATGTTTACGTCAGAGGCGTTGATTATTATTTGTATTTTTATTATTAATATGAAAATGTAAACCATTTTGCAATACACCATTATTATATGCTTATAAAATATATACTCGTCGATTCGAAAATAAAAACTGCTTTTGATTTCTGACTGTGGTGAAAAATGGAATGTGGTGAAATTAGATTATGCTCTATGCCGTTGTTTATGCAGCACGACTTGCTTGCTGGCATTACGTTTACTTTAGAAATAATTTAGGAAGTATGTTAGTTTTACCTGTCAAAAAATTGTTAAAAATAGTTTTGCACTTAAAAGTTGGATTAAAAACATAAAAATTATGGATGCGGTCGACATTATGCTAAATGCTGCACTAAAAACAATTGATTGTTATTATAAAGAACAATTGTTAAAAGAGGCTAAAAGAAAATTGGAATATAAACAGACTGGATCAGGTTTTAAAGTTTTATTAAACATAATTTATTAGAAAAATAATATATTTTTATATTTTAGCTCCAATAAATAGGAAAAAGAAAGCTAAGAAGAAGCATTCAGAGGATTTCAAAGGATTCAACTATAAAGAAATGAAGGAATCCAGACGTTTATATAAAAATGAGATGGATTACTATAACACAAAAATATTTACAATAAACGAAATGAAGAGCAAGTTAAATATTTCTACAAATTGCAATGATCTCCATGATTCCCAATCCTCTAGTTCTTAAAATGATGTGCCGCGAGTTGATATTAATTAATATTTAGGAGTCGTTAATATGACCACGTTTTATGATATCAAATGCCTTATGTATCAAATACATAGTTTTAATTGTATTATTCAAAATGTAACTTTTTTTTTTAACATTATTACAATGTGAAATAAATTATAAATAAATTACAAACATTTTGTACCAAATATTGGTTATGTGGCCTGGTGTGAGTTCAATGAGGCGAAATGTCTTAAACATATTTTTCATATTGTCTAATTTATTTAAGTAAATTAATATTTTGTAATATTTTAAATTTTACAAAATTATTAATACTGAATTATTATTTTAATAAGAATTTATTTTATATATAAAATATAAAGGAGTTGCACTACATTTCATCCAAAAACTAATGTAGGTTCCAATTAAAGCGGTTTCACTATAGCAAAGTGAAGATTTATAACATAATCACTTATAATGTATAAAAATTGTTATAATCCTTGTTGAAAGAGGCGAGCGGTATTTAATCCAAATACGCAATTGAACCGTAAACTTGGTCACTACAGACCCCATTCGAGTTTAGTTCTTCAAAGGAATACAAGTGCGATTGTTAGAAAAACATTTAAAAAAAATTTTGAATGTAAATATATTGTGTTAGGTTCAGATTAAACTCTGATTTTCTAAATTATATATATACGTAAAGTAATTATTGTGCATATTTAGTGAAAAGCATAATAATTTGTAATCTAATGTGTAAATTCCCTGCAATGGTTGTTAAGAGTTTCATGTGTAACGAAAGACAATTTATTTAATTGTAAACAGTTATATTATATGCTTCTGAAGTGGCTAGGTTTCTGCATCTTGATCTTGGAGAAATATTCAATTTAAATCTCGCCCAATTTCCAATCCATTATCACTCGCATATAATGCCCCACCGTGTCACACAACCATTACCCATCTACATCATTACCTATGCATATGTCTTGTAATTCTTTTCACGTTATCCAAGTGACATACCTGCGGGTTACAAGAACTATATGCTCATATAATAAAATTAATACTTCTCCTGTAGTACTTCCAGAGACTATCCATTCCACTTTTTCACATTGTTAGTTTAAATAACTCACTTCATTATGAAACAGGTTGTACTCTTTCTTTATTTAAATAATATAATTTATATTTATTTTTTTATTAATTAATAATATGACTGCACCTACTCTGAAAAGATATTTTTAAAATTTCGACCTTCGTAATAAGTACGTTTTTTGGTGCAATTTTTAAAAACATACATTTATTAAATGTATGATTATTTTCAATAATCAGAACTCGCACATTACAAAATATTGGTTAACTATAACAACTTAAAAGATAAAATTTATAAAAACATTAAATAATATTTATATATCTTTATTAAAAGATAAAAACTTTGAACTTAAAATTAAAAGTTTTTAGTAGGTATCATAAAAAATATTTTTGTTAAATTGAAATAATTTTTTAAACTATATGAGTATTAAATAAATATATGCTATAACTGCTCTCTAACGTCGCCATACGCCAGGTCCAATGCCTCCAGATGCCACACCACGACGTACTGCTTCCATTTCATCTGTGCGATTATCGCGATAAGCACGTTTCGAATCCTCAAACTCACGTAAACGTTGATTGTAACGATCAATTTGATCACGTAAAATAGCATCTTCATGCATGGCTCGCCGTTCATCATATTCTAAACAACCAACGCCATCTAAGCGCTCCAAATCCAACCAACCACGAAAACGCACACATACACCGTTCATAATAAAATATGACTTAATATGTACTTTACCATGCTCTTTATCGAAATCGCATTCTTTGTCTTGTATATAAGGATTTTGGTTTGCATTGAACACCAACTGCAAATTTGTGCCAGAAGCAACAAATGATACCTCAGTGTGTCCCTCACGGCAACCATTTTGAAAACGTATCTGCCGTTCTTCAGGTGCACGTTCACGATAGCCAGTGTAACGAATTTCACTTTCGCGGCTTAAACGGCGGAATAATTCATCACTCTCAAACTTGGATTTCTGATCTGGTACCACACGTGGCATTTTAAAAATAAATCGTGGTTTTGGTTGTTCATACAAACCAATGGTATCGTAAGGAATCATACCAGCAAGAGCTGCAGCCTCATTCATTTTTTCTAAGTATCAACCGATGAATCACTTTCAATCACGCTGAATTGTTAAGTTGAGTTAGTTCTCTTTATTTCGTACAGATATATAATTAAATATATTAATTTATTATTTTTTATACAGCAGCAGGAAATGTTTGTTTATTGAAATACAAGCACAAAATTATAAAATTTCTTTTCGTATACTTACAATTTTGCGGTTTTTCAGAGTTGTATTTTTAGAGTGTTTCATTGAATAAAATTTTCCTCCACAAATATTTCAAGTGTGCGTGTTGAATATTTTTGTTATTATATTTCACAACAGGCTTCTTCACAGCTTTTATTTAGAATGCTAAAGTATTAGCATTCTAAGTGTGTTAAATATATTACATGAATTGTCAACATATCGCTGAATATGCTACCTTGATAAATTATTAAATTCTACTCCAATCACAAACTATGCGTTCTAGATATTCCTTTTTGCGAATATGACATTTTAACAGTTTAGCATATTCGAAGAAGTTTAGCATGTTAAATTAAAATAATGAAGATAACTAATATTACAATACGTTTACATTATCGAAATTAATTCCAGAAATGTACAAGAATCATATCATAAAGGTTCAGATAGTCAGTACGTACGTACCGTACTCTGTGTAGTATTTTCAAATGTTATGCTTTCTCAGATACTCTCATTTACTCGAAAATTTGTTGGTGGAACGCACTTGTGTACACACAGTGTTACTTTAAGTTACTACGAGTAGCTCGTGGAACAAACTTAATATGAATATATGAAGACCATCGTTTAAGTCTTGGGGTAGCACACTCGCAACTCTCTTTTTCTTTCTATCTCTCCTCCTTCTTCGTTTCTTGTGATTGCAAATATCGACATTTAAAACAATTTTCATAACAAAAATTAATTACTAAATAATGGTGATAAACCATTGAGAAAATTCTGTATTAGACTTTATTCGTATAATTTTTTTCAAGTAAAATTTGTGTTGATGTGTGAATCAGCTTGAATTTAAATATTTGAATTTAAATTTTTGAATTTAAATTTTTGTATTCTTTATTTGCGCAGTACTGGTGTTCTCACCAGATTTTAAACAGACCTATTATTATTCATTATTATTATATCTAATTCTTTAAGTTAAAATTTTTTTTTAATTATAAAAATGATCTATAATCCCACCGATATAAATTTTGGTTACGAACCTTTCTAAATATAAATAGTATTTCTAAAGAAATACTAGTTATAATCTTAAATTGCATACGAATAGATTGTAGAAGAATTTGTAGAGAATTTTATTGAAATTGCAAAAAAAAAATTGTTTTGTATGGACTTCGGCCAAAACTCTGATTTTATTGACAGATTTTTTACAAATATGTCATTAATATCGCTAATACATGAGGAAATTTTTGTATTAATTATGAACTATACACAATCACATATAGATAAAGTAGACATATTAAATAAAAATCTGAAATAAGGTTAAAAATTACAAAATACACTAATACCTCGCTTTGCAATATTTCAGTTAGCGACGTTTCATATTGCGTCGAAAAAAATTTGCGAAT